GAGTATACAACTATTATATAATATATTGTAATAATTGTCTTATTGTTTATAAAAAAGATAAATAATTAATTAATTACTAGTAGAGGACCTTCCTCGCAACAACAAGTAAACAGCATGCTCGCAGGGCCGTTTGTTCGGTCAATCATCGCGCACTCTTTTTGAATGAACTTAGGATGCCGATTTGGACCTAAATGCACTTTATTTCAAATGTGCAAGAGTGAAAGTAGTTTTCACTAAAAAATTCAATTTCTTAGTCATCTTATGCATATTAAAAATAAAAATTTTGACGATCGGTCGGAAAATCCATGACCGTATTTTTAATGAATTTGTTCTCACTATCATATGTACAATTTAGTAGACAAACCGTATAATACTAGGTATTGTTGAATTGAACCATGTGAATAATTCCCCATATAAAGAAATACAATGCTCCTAAGAATCCTTAGAAAATATTTTGCTCAATGTTTCTTGCGGTTTAACTATAAAACATACTTGTGAAACTGTACTGCATACTGTATTGTAGGAAACTAACGAGTGAGCTGAACAATTCATTTGGATTGTTTCATGTACCGATTTCGTTCTATTATACATATAGTATTATAATATTGTGTAGATATCACACGAGTGTTTGATATTCTTATTTTCGTGCTATTTTTTATTTAATTCAAGTACAGCTAGCTGATTTTTCCGCGCACAGTACCACCAGATCGCTCGCACAAATCGTACGCGGTTGTCGCTTGCTTTATGATGAGGCAGAAGTAGAAACGTCCTCACGCGCATGCGCACCGCTCTCAGAGACGGAAGACATTCTAATAATAGTTTTTGTAATTCCTAAGCCAAATATGTACGCAAACGGTATTATTATTAACCATACAACTGAAATTTTTGTGAAGAGGAAATAAATTGAAATATGTTCGGATAAATAGAAAATAGCGCGTCCCGACGCCGGTCGCCTTGCCGGTACGTCCCAGACAGCGTACCTTGGCATGCACGCGGCGTCACCTTGGCAATAATCCAGCAACAAGAGAACGCCGGACGCCGCCAACGTCGGGATGCCACAGACACAATACTAGCCGATTAAAATGTTTTTCGATAAGACTTTTTGCTATTTTTGGACGCTTTTATGTATTGATATTGACGATACCGTTTAATACCATTGTTTCGCCCGATACAACCTTCGTCAAGAATAAAATCTGTGAGGAATCAATGATCTGAAGTTATAACGAGTTATTTAAAATATTAGTGTTCGATACCCCTCAATAATCTTTATTTCCTAAACGATCATGAGGAATACAATCAATAATGAAAGTTAAAATTTAAATATGTACATTAAATATTCGAACTGCAATAGTTCTCTGATAAATAAATTTACAAATCTTACCTGTAATACTTAATAACGAAGAAAATACTAAAACTATTAATGTCCATGGTGGCCAACCATATAATAAGTGGCTATGAAGCCGTCTTCGACCTGAAACAATTGTAAAATTGTCGTTAAAAATTCTAACAAATTCAAATAAAAAAAGCAATGATTACGGTACTAAAGTTTAATAATATGAATAGGTAAACGATAACGATTAGTTATTATTTATTATCATCATTATTTTTACACTATTAAATATCGTATTTTCGAATCGGATTTGCCAACTTATTAAATAATTCATGTCTGTGATTTTATTGGAATATAGCAAAACGAGAGCACAGGTGCCAACGCCCTCAATCGACTATAATTTGATAGCGATTACGCAAACCCGGTTACACGATACGACCTATTGACGATTCAGAGACATCTCTCTATGGCCCCAGTCAAATAACAGTCAGAAAGGTACAAAAAATATTGTTAGATGTTCAGATAATAAATCGATAGTTAAAAGCATAAAAAAAAATAAGTGTGCGCATATCGAGCTAGCATGACAAACTTATATTTATCATTTCTAGAATGTGGGTACTATAGTTTGTCGATAATTTGTTACTAAATCCAAAAGTTTGTCGCTCTAGACGAAATGTTACCCTAATATCAAGCTGATATTACTACTTCGCCTCTCGAAATAGAAATGGCATAAGAGCTAAGGGTCTATAATTTGCGCTGAAAGATTATACTTTTGTCCATTTTGTCGCTGGTCTATCCTCCAGCAATCCAGAGAAAAAATCTGGAGAACCGCCCAACTGATACTACACATAGCGTATCTCTATGTAGAAATGGCGTAGATAAATGCTGCAGGGCTATCATTTGTCGCTGAAAAATTGAAAATTTTGCCCAATTTGTCGCTAGTCTATTCTCCAGCAGTCCAGGGAAAAACGACTTGAGAGTCGCCGAGTACTTCTTTCCGGCTTTCCAATCGTTTTTCGTTGGACAGATGCAGGATAAACCAGTCATAAAATAGATAAACGTAGGTGCCATCCTTCAGTGACAAATTAGCAACGAATTATAGCCCTTTTAGTATTTAAAAAAAAAAAAAAAACTTTTGAGTGTTTCATTCCCACCAGCCAGTAATGCTGGTGGGCGGGCAGTCCCTCCGGACTATGCCGGAAGGTAGGGCGGAAGGCCCTCTTCAGCCTGCTTTCAGGAATCGTAGGAATGGGTGGGTGGTGGTTCGGGTGAAAAAGATGAGACGGATGAAATGAAGACAGAACAGAGTGAAAGATTATCTGTGGAATATTATTACTGCCTCAGCATTTGCCTAAGTGATCCAAGGAAACCACAGAAAAACTTGGACCAAGGCAGACGGACCCGGAATCGAACCGGCGTCCTCCCGATGCAATGGTCTAGACCTCTAGGCCATGCCGCTCGGTTTTTAGTATTTCTCATTGTCACATATACGGCTGGAGTGACAAATTTTTGGATTTAGCAGCAAATTAGTGATAAATTATAATGCAATTTAGAAATGAGAAATATAACTTTGTCGGACTTTCTCAAGTCTAAGAAATTTTCAAGCAAGTGGTTTTATGTTAGATATACATAGAGAGTTTAATAAATATCCATTTTTTAATAACGTTTCCAATAAATCTTTTACCTGACATAATAAGAAAAACAATATTGCATCGGCTAGGAATCAAACTTGGTAAGCAGTCATTCTATAACTACCGACGCTTCTTGCAAAGTTTATCTGACTTAAGGTATTTTTTACTCGTATTAATTACAGGTTAATTTAAATTAAATTTTACCTTTCGAATAATGTAAGGTTCATTCACCTCCTTTTATAATAAAAAAATACTAGATGTAGGTGTAGTGATTGATATCTTTATGATGATTTTTTTTTTTTTCGCTCAAAAGGAATAGCGGTGGCGAAGTATCGTGTTATCATAATATTAATAGGGGAAGGAGTACTATACAATCCAAATGAAAAATTCAGCTTTTTTGTATGTAAGAAGGTTTTCATTAAAGCTCAAGCGCTTAATGTGTACTCTCAACGTAGGAAAAGTAAATTAATAGTTAGATGTCACAGATAGAGACCAGTATAATACTCTATTACACAATTAGGTAGTTTTATAAAAATACATACTACATAATACGATGAAATTTTAAAACATGCTGTCATTTCTTTAATTTGCGTGCAATTTTTCAATCCAAATATGTGGGTCCTGCTAATAAGTGTACCTCCTACACATAAATCTGCCCACGGGTTTTTAAACAACACTTGTGTTTTAGACGCAGAATCCATACACTGTATCTATAGCTACGTTGAAAGTATGTAAATTCTTATATAAAGTTTTGCTTAAAAATTTCAATTTCAAAAATCAGATAATTTCGGAGCAATATAATTAGAAAAATTTATTGCACTTGCATAGATATTTGTAATTTTGCAATAAATAAAGTATATTAATAATTTTCAAAATTGTATCTAAACACATATATAATCATTTGAGTTCCGATTAATTATTTTTCATGATCTGTACACCATATTTTATTTAATTGTATTAAAGGAAATGTCAATTGAGAAATGTGTGGGATGATGGCATTAAGTAAATCATAATTGGTGTTTAAGAAGTGGCCTGAATAATAATTGAGGCAATGTATCTATATTTTAAAACACGAGCATTTCTAACACTTTTAAAGACGTTACCTAATAACGATAACGTTAAATAAATATTTAAAATTATTTTCGCAATTACAAAGATGGTGTTAAAAATTAGAAACAATTTTGATAGGTAGGCACATATGAAAAGTAAAATGGTAAAAATGGCACAATATAAGGTAAAACTGACCTGAAAATCTGGTAAGAAATTGTTGGAGTCCAGTTGTTAGTGCTTGCAAGTGATATTGAAGTATATTAATAGGTACCAGGGCTATGGCTGCACTACTAGGAGAGCCTTTTGCTGCTGAGCCCCATTCCGACATCACGTGTGCCACTGGAAACAAAAGAAAGCCTAATTTAGTATACAAATGTATACGTAACAGGTAAGGATGATGAAGTTATTTTGTCATATAAGTCATATTAAACGTATTTGTACATTAATATTGCAAATTTGCAATCATTTTATGCAGTCCTCACCACAGAAATAACAAGTTTAGTATGAATTTGACAAGTGGACACTTGGATACTTAGATTAGATAGAAAAACGGGGGGTTGGTTGATATTAAATAACATCAAAGTCTTATTTATTGTATGTAAAATACGATAAAGGTAAAATGTCCAGTAATAATTTTAATCAAAGGTACCTAAATCTTACTAATTATAGGTAGGTATCCACTAAATAAAATTATTCTCAGTCAAATTACATTTTGTTGCCCAATTGCTTTAAAATAAATAAACAATAAAAGTAGTTTTTTGGCTTAGAAATCAGAAAAAGGTAGCTAAATTTGGAGATGCGGTAGTTGCACAAGTTGAAGTAATTAGAAAAAAGGTAGAATATCTATCAACTAGCTAGCTATATGATTAATACAGAAAGAAAATTGTACCTACTCCTTAATTTAATTGCGAATATTAATTACAAATGCAGATAGGTACTTAATTGTTTATCATGAAAAGGGTTGTAATACGTATGAGGTGGCTACACATTAGAGATGGAAATATTCCAATAGCAGATTACATTAATTTGAAATTCTACGTAAATGGGTAGTTATTGGAACAATTATTGTCAACTTTTTGCATCGCCCTTGTAACAAGCTGAAATTAACAACATGTTTATCGTTAATTAATGTCAAATGATTGCAATTTTTCATCGTTGCCTAATTAAAATCAAATCAAATTTCAAAGGACTGAAATGGGGCAAATCAAATTTTGTAAAGATTGCTATTATAAGAATATTGCTAAATTAGGTATGTAATTCCTTATTTAGTCAAATTACCTGGCTATAAAATTTTTGTCTATAGCCTAGACGTTTCAAAAATAACTAGGTTAATAGGTGTCCCAGGTAATGCTTATTTATAGGGAAAATTTTTGTCATTACTTCCCATTGGTTCTATCTGTTCCCTTTTCAAAAAAAGGATTCACTAATAGAAATAGAAAAATATAATACTAAGAACAAATGAATTTTCACAAAGTAAATTCATGTTCGTAGTTCCTCCACATGCATGTATGTGTACATATATTATAGGTGGGTATTCCTGTCTACCAGAAGAGTTCGGTCGTGACAGCAAAGAGACGATTGCAAGAGCAAATGGTGTAATATTTACTTTTTTGAAATTATCGACAAGTTATTCTTAAATGAACGCCACGTTAACAATACAAAATTTGTTCAAATTTTAAGGGACATTAATTTATAAAAAAATACACGTATGGCTGTTTGGTTAATTCGAAAATATTAGGAATGTCAGCTCTACTATGCATAGCATTTCTATTATTTCCCATGAGTATGTTTGATGGTGTAGTTTAGAAATGTAATATTTTTAAGGTAATACAGGTCAGTATCTTTCACTTCTAAACAATACCACACTTTATACATCACGAATTACAACTAGGAACTTACATTGCAAAATTCTCAAAGACATGTACGTGAATATGCGGCCCATGGGACTTCAGACATTTTCCAATCCACACAACCTAAACAGCACATTGCACTGAGGCTTTTAGAAAAAAAGCCAAGGAGTCACATGTTAATCATACACTACATTTTTAGTAAAGTTGTTCGGTTGAAAGAAAAATGCTAAACAACGCGAGTTCGAGAGACACTATACGCGATCATATAAAACCGACATGAATAATTAATGGAAACAAGTAAAAAAACGAAAACGAATAGTCGAATTGTAAAAAATAAGCCGTTAATACGTAAAAATGGTCTCGACGAATATCAACTATGATTTTATTAAACACATACGAGCGTAACATTCAACAACACACCTAAACCACGACCAACGTTTACCTGAACTGACGGACTTACCAACATGCCATGGCTAACGAACACTTCCGATTTTTAACGAACAAATACGACAGAGGGCGGACGCGATTTTCACCTGAAGTCGGCCACCGTGAACGTCGTTTTTACCTGCAGTAAAAGATACGGCGATGTGCATTAAATTGATACTACTTTCACTGTTATTCCATTTTTTGCCTGCCGAGTTGAGAAACGCAGTCTTGATCATGTCTAATAACGTTTAGGATTAGATAAACGTCACATTACTCCTTTATCATCGACCAAACCTTCTACCTCCCAAGGAACCCACGAAATTAGACAGACAGGTAAAGCAAAAAAATTATTACATCTTCTATTTCTATACGTATTCAGTACTTATTTCCCAAATACTGAATATACCTAATACATTTTACTTTTACATTTATATGTTATCAGTACGAATTAAGAATTTTTTTTTCGAGTTTCCATCTTTGAATTAAGTTTACTTTGGGAAAAGGTGGGGGCTCTCAAATACCGTCGGTACCATAAAATTCTACGTACTTTAATTTTTGCGTAATGACAATATTTCAAAGCTTAGTAAATACGTTCCCTGTCCCAATAATTTCACAGGGCTTTTTTATGTTTAAACTGCTATATACATTTTTA